GCTACATTTAATTCTTCAGAAATTTATTCTAGGATACCTGGTAGCTATAATGCATTACATAGATTAAGTGTTCAAGTTGAATAGTCCTCATTCAGTTTCAAGAGTTAAAGCAAACTAAGTTCTTCAAACTGCATTTCAGAATAAGGGAGTGAGTGATATTAAAGAAAATTGCTTGTTTGTTATTAATAACCTTTAAAACTTTAAATTGACCACATATCAGAGTCATTAGGAGAGAATTTGAAGTAAGGAGAATGAATGTCTCAGTGTGTTAATATTTGCTTAACTATCAATTCAAGATAGACAGTGTTGGACAAATGATCTGGAATTTTTTTGAAAATGTGTAACCAAGGAAGTTCCTAGTAGATTCTGTCCCTAGTGTATCAGCCTCTACTTTGCCCACTTGCTGAATGACCTGATGTCCTTTTTGATTTTTGTGAGGAGCTAGATCTTGGCAGCATATGATTGCAGTAGTTAAAAATAGACCATTTTATCTTCCGTGTCTCTGCCAAGAGAAGAGCAGGAACCTTTCCGCAGCAGCCATTTGGTAACGGTCTGATAATGAACCCAAATGCATTGATGGAAATGTAGACAGAAGAGCACATGCAGCACAGATTTTCCTCCAAATATAGCTCTCAGTTTATCTGTGATGATGTGCTGACTGGGGCAGACCCTTCACAAAGGTGAACAAAGACCCACCACCAGATGGATCCGTAGCTGGCTGACCGGCCGTACTCAGCGAGTGGTCCTCAATGGAACTGCATCTATATGGAGGGAAGTGTGTAGTGGGGTGCCCCAGGGCTCTGTTCTGGGCCCAGTACTCTTCAACATCTTCATCAACGATTTGGATGAAGGGATAGATGGGGAACTCATCAAATTTGCAGATGACACCAAGCTGGCAGGAATAGCCAACACTCCAGAAGACAGGCTTCAGATACAGAAGGATCTGGACAGACTTGAACACTGGGCACTAACTAACAAAATGAAATTCAATGGTGAAAAAAGCAAGGTTCTACATTTAGGCAAGAAAAACCAAATGCACAAGTACAGCATAGGTGGCACCATGCTCAATAGTAGTAACTGTGAGAGGGACCTCGGAGTCCTAGTAGACAATCACTTAAATATGAGCCAGCAGTGTGCTGCAGCTGCCAAAAAGGCCAACACAGTGCTAGGCTGCATTAACAGAGGGATAGAATCAAGATCACGTGAAGTATTAATACCACTCTTCCATGCCTTGGTAAGGCCACACTTGGAATACTGCATCCAGTTTTGGTCACCACGATGTAAAAAAGATGTTGAGACTCTAGAAAGAGTACAGAGAAGAGCAACAAAGATGATTAGGGGACTGGAGGCTAAAACATATAAGGAACGGTTGCTAGAATTGGGTATGTCTAGTTTAACGAAGAGAAGGACAAGGGGGGACATGATAGCAGTATTCCAATATCTCAGGGGCTGCCACAAAGAAGAGGAAATTAAGCTATTTCCCAAAGCACCTGAAGGCTGGACAAGAAGCAACGGGTGGAAACTAATCAAGGAGAGAAGCAACCTAGAACTAAGGAGAAACTTCCTGACAGTGAGAACAATTAATCAGTGGAACACCTGCCTCCAGAAGCAGTAAATGCTCCAACACTGGAAGTTTTTAAGAAGAGACTGGACAGCCATTTGTCCGAAATGGTGTAGGGTTTCCTGCCCGAGCAGGGGGTTGGACTAGATGACCTCCAAGGTCCCTTCCAACTTTACTACTATTACTATTACTAAGGGACAAAGCAAGCACACTCATTAACCTTTGGACTGCTGTATCACAAAGAATTTGTTACACTCGTTGCATAAAATGGAATTTTTTCCATTTTTTTTACAGCAGAATGTATATTATAATTTAGGCACACAAAATCATGACAAAATGGTGGGTTGCCATCCTGCATCTATTAAGAATTGTAGCCAAACACAGTTTTAATTATTAGGTTCAGAGTCTTTGTATTAATCCAGTACCTAGTCTGGTGTCTTAAGCAATTGCTTAATGCAGAAGGAGAAACAGATTGAGAAACACTGTTCTAACATCAAGCAGTTTCTCCGGCACTGAAAAAAAATGCAGTTCTTCTGTTGTATCTTTTCTCCAGACCAACTCTTGTTCCCCCCCCCCACCTCTGAGCTATGATGCCAAATAGATTCAGAAATTCTGGTTGTCCTCGACTTATGACCATAATTGGGACCTGAATCTCAAGTCACCAAATAAGCAATCATTGAGTGAGATGGCCACGTGACTGCTTCACTCACTGACTGCAGTTCTGATTGTGGTTGTTAAGTGGGCAGAGCAAAACATTTGTCTGCCATAGGAGGGCAGATAGCTCCCCTTCTGCTTGGAAGGAATGCCTGCACTGAACTGGATAAATGAAGCATTGTAATCTCCACTTCATTTCTACAGCATAGCGCAAGAGCTCCTCTTCACTCTATTCACGGATCTTTGGTCTCAAAGATCTGAGCTTCATTTCTGCAGCCCAGCACAAGGTTTCCCTCTCCCCCTGGCAACTTAGCACCCTCCCAGATGGTCTCCCCATTTCATTTCTGGGAAAGCCGGAAGATTGATCTCTGAGTTCTTGGTAACCATTTGTAAATGCAAACAAATTGCCAAGTATTCAGGTCATTATTACCTCGCCAGTGTGTGTGCGTGTGTGTGAGATGACATGATGCTGGAAGTGCTTTATGGATTGTAAAGCTTGATTTCTGAGCTGTTGTAATTTAATGATCATTAAACAACCAATCGTGTTGAGGGCTACCTGTGGTCCTCCCTTAATGTCTACTCATTCAGTGATCGTTTGAAGTAAAAGCAACATTGAACAAGGGGACTTGTCGTAGGTCTTTGGCTCCAGCCATCACAGACTTCCCACAGTCATGTAATCACAGTTTGGGTGCTTGGCAACTGGTCACAATCACAAGCACCCCACTGTCACATAATCTTCATTTGCAAACTTCATTCTCAGTTTCCAATAAGCGAAGTCAATAGGACGCTAGCAGGAGGTTGCAAATGGTGATCATATAATCATGGATGCTGCGACTGCACAGGATTTGCTTAACGATGGCAACTGGGACAACAAGAACTGCAGTCATAACTTGGTACAGTTACATGATATTGCACCTTGCAATCATATTGCTTTACAGTAGATTTCTTGGTCCCAATTATCATTGGTAAGTGAGGACTACCTGTAACCATAGATAGTTTTTATAAGTCTGCAGGGTTTGTGCCAGGCTTTGAATATGTAAAAAATATAATGCAAAACCTCTTAGGATCTAAATAGAATATGTTGTAGCTATAGCAGCGAATCAAATAGACCAGCCAGCTTGTCTGTTGTGCTCTTTTCCTTTCAGTATTTTTCATGCATCTCCAATATATTGTGTAAATGTGTTCTGTAGGGGTATGGAATGTGACTTTGTGCACAGAATTCAGCTTCCTCAGATTTTTATGATCACTTGGCAAATGAAGCACATTTCTAAACATTCTTGCTGTGAGTAATATGTGGAAAGAGCATGGTCAAATATCTGCTGAAATTGAAGTCTATAGAGAGCTGGCCAGATAAACTAAGTCAACAAGGCATTAATTTAGTGTATAGCTTTTTGCCCTTTCCATATGACAAGTCACACGAAACTTTAACATTTTATTCTAAACATGTATGGTGCTTATTATAAGACAAATGTAGATAGCATTTATGCAAAAACAAGTTTGATAAAGTATCTCAAACTTCTAAATGAAAAATACGGAAATCCCTGGGTACCAGTAATTTCAATGTTTACTTAGCATATTCATGAGGTTAGCTTTGGCTAAGACTTTTAAAATCTTCCATAGTTGACAATAAGAGTCCTGGATTCATTTGATCTTTGTAGTTTGAAATATGCTCTAATGTAACTTAGACAATTTTTCAAGTAGTGAAACTGCAGTTCATATCTGGTACTTTTAGCTGAGCATCCTCAGTTTTGAAAAGGCTCCAGAAATTCTAAAATGAATCAGCCAAAATAGATGAAATAGCTTAGTATTATTGCTTGTATAATGTTTAATCTCTCTGGTGACTATTCATCCTTTTCTTACTGCTTGTTAAATCTTGTTCATGGTGATTGTTTAAACAGCCAGAATTATGAGTGGCTCTTTTTCTAAAGGGCAAATGGTAAGAAAGTGGAAAATTTAGCAAATAGATAAGTTCCTATCCACAGCACCTACTTTAATATTGAAAGTATGAATAATGCTTGTTAATGGTCAAATGGTAAGACTTGGTTTCGTGGCAGTCCTATGCTCTTTGACAATTTTTGTCTCCTAGTACAACAGGGGCATTGAGGAGGCATGGAAATATAGGCCACAGAGATATAGAAGTGAGAATTATTTCCAAATTTAATGCTGCGCTCTTTACTCCCAATGCATAGTTTTTAGCTGGTTTGCTTCAACCCATATTGCATCTTTCTTTGGAGAAGCAACTGTATTTTGCAGTTTAGTGTTACTTTGCATAAACAATCATTTTACGCAAATGAAACAGTAATTTTATTAGAAGCTACATTTAAAAATATAAAATCTATACAAATTTTTTAAAAATAAAAGATTTAAAAGAAAAAATAAAAAAAGAAAGGAAAAATAATGTAGTAAAGAAAAAGAAATAAATAAGCTACTTTTCCCTACATCAAAGCAAGAACAAACACTTTAGTAACTTATCATCTTCTCTTAAAGTACAACAAATGATCCCTTCTTCCCATATCCTATGCCTTATCTGTAAACAAATCCCTAAAGACTTGTTGTTTAATCCTCAAGTTTGGGGGAATAATCTTCATTTTGCCATTTCTTCGCCCAAAGCCCACATTAAATAATCCTAAGCCTTAGCTGTCATAGACTTACCTGAGAATTTTGACTACCCTTGCAATAATATTAATTATTGCTGTTACTTTTATTGCATAACTTTGCAAACATCCTATATTAAGTGCTTCATGCTTTGTTTTTTGCTTAGAACTAACTTCATTTTCTTCTGCAGTTTAATTTTGGAGATACCGTTGTCAATCAGGCTATCCATACCATTGAATATTGCTTAGGATGCATCTCCAACACAGCCTCCTACCTGCGTCTCTGGGCACTCAGTCTAGCTCATGCACGTGAGTAGTTTCTCCATGACTTATCTGAGCATAGTGAAGAGGAAAGGCAAATTCCAGCCATGAATTAAAAGATCAATTTTTCCTTTTTATTATTAGTGTAAATGAGGGGAAGGCAATCTAGTACTCTGTATGAATCATAATTCATAGTTTTTTATTATGACTCCTATAATCCTTTGCTTTTGGCCATGTTGACTAAAGTGGAAGTTGGAATCTAAAACAACTTGGGGATTATGGCTTGCACTATTCATTTCTTTTATTATGCTGCACATAAAGTTAGAATGCTAGAAAATATCACGCGCACCCACTATTTCTTGGTTCCTTATCAAAATCTTTTAAAGTACTATTTATTACAGTAAGTATAAAATGTCTCTTGAATCAGGATTTGTACTTTCCACTGTGGAATGGGTGGGCAGTTCTTTAGAGGAAATTGTTCCTGGGGTGTGTTTCAGATGTATGACTAATTTGAAGAACTAGCATCTCTACACTTTCTAGGCATGATCCTTAGATACCTTAAAAAAGGCAGCCGAAATGAGGTTAGAGCCTGCTGGTCTCTTTTCTCCAAGGCTAGTTTTCATTGATTTACAGTTTTTTTCTCTTCACAGAGCTTTCTGAAGTCCTCTGGACCATGGTGATTCACTTGGGTCTCAGTATCAATAATCTGGCTGGTAGTTTGGCCTTGTTCTTTTTATTTGCTGTCTTTGCTACTCTAACAGTAGCCATCTTATTGGTCATGGAAGGTCTTTCAGCCTTTCTGCATGCCCTCCGTTTACACTGGTGAGTGTCAAATAGTTGATTTTCTGCTACAAACAAGCCAAAGTCATAACTCGGTAACTCTAGTATTTGAATGTTAGATCTATAAAGACTTAGTTTTGTACCCTGCCAACTCCTGATGAAATATAGGTAACAAGCTAAGAAGGAACCTGTGTAAGATTTTGTAGCATTTTGTAGTATTGCAATCAAGCAGAGCAAATAATAGTTTGATTAGAGTTAGAAGGTTTCAATTCAGGGTAGAGCCAAGACTGTTTTTGTGTTAATACCTAATACATAATGTCTATGTGTCTTGATTATCTGACTCACTACTGTAAGTAAAGAGTTTTTTCCTCATTTCCTCAGCTAGTGTTTGATTCATGTTTGGTGACTCTTTGCATTGGGTTCAAAGGTTGTACAAAATTTCCAAATAGCATGACCATGTTCAGTCCATTTCCAATGAACTGAGGCTGTCTTCAGCAGTATTGCAGATTATATATTTCAGACTGGCCAATTCAGATCATGGAAAGAGAAAGAGCTTTCTTCCTGCAATTTAGTTGGTTGAATTCACATATCGTGCTGATTTTGGCAAATTGGGAATACAGCTAATATGATTTGTAACCCATGATTCTACTAAGAGTAATATACAAATGGTTGCTTAGTAACTTATTGCTTGATGCAGAGTGGTAACTCAATTATCTCAAGGTGAGAATCTGAAGAAATCTCTTGTCAATTTTATTTTTAGCAATGACCCAATTGCAGGATGCTAGCTATTCTGATGGGGGAACTGCCAAATTGAATTGCCTTTCTCCCCTCTCTGCCTTGGCTTCTATGCTTCCTTAGTGTTCAGCTTGAAGAGAAAAGAGCTTCCCTTAGTGCACAGGAACTTTATCTTTTACTATTGGGAGAAAAATGGGAAGAAAGCTACTTTATGATTCTACCTCTCCTCTTGTCTGCATTGTATCATAGTGGAATCTTTCTCAAAAGTGGGCAAAGCAGAGACCTACCTACAAAGACGTGTTTATTATGTAGAAGTATGTAAAACCATGCATTCTTTTTGACGGGCCCATAGTGCCAATGCATAAAACATAATTCCACCTTCTCATTGATTTATTACATAAACCTTTTCTCAGTTTTAAAGGGGTATTCTTGATTCTTGAAATGGTATTTGCCAGACTGTTTTGCCAACATTTATGGAGTAAGTATGACAATGATTGTGAACTTTGAGTATGTGATTAATCAAATGGATTATAAGTTTGCATGCTCTTATTTTTGTGTGCTTAGACTATTTCTTCAAAGTCTGACAGGCAAAGATTCTCCAGAATCTAACTTCGCTCTATATAGCCTTTTCTTGGACTTGCTGTGCTTTGAGTCATAGCTTGTAGCACTTTTTTTTCCTTGCCGTTTGATATTAAGTTGCTTATTTGTTGGCGGGGGTTTCTTTTCTTGTCAGGGAAGTCCAGCTTTACAGAACAATAGAAGCTACACTATTTGCAATCATGACATCAACCACTATCTCAATCTTGCAGGAGGGCCCAGAGATCACTTTCCTTACCCTGCCTTTTTTTCTTTGTGCCAAGTTCCAAACACAAAAACTTCCCACATATTTGAAGATAGGAGGTGTTGAATCATTTTTGGTTAGAGCAAAGTTCACCATCAATACCCAGGCTTGCAGAAATCTCTGCTGGTTATATGAGATCTTAAACTAAAAATTTTGCTTGAGAGAAAAACCAGATGTTTTTCAAAAGATGTTTCTGTTAATAAAAACAGAATAAATGGTGGACAGGGGAAGAAGGAGTGAGGTTCCCATACACACACACACACACACACACACACACACACAGTTTTTTACAATAACAATCTTTAGTATTTAGTAAACAATATATTGTCTGGGTTTACACATTTAACAATAATACAGTTTCCATTCCTACCCTTTATTCTGTTTTTCTAACCATTTATAAAATTTTTCCCACATTTGGAAGTATTCTGAACCTTGTTTCTTTTTCATTTTCAATGTAAGTTTATCCATTTCTGCACAGTCCATGATTTTCTTAATTATATCTTCTTCAGATGGTATTTCTTCATTTTTCCAATACTGAGCAAATGTAATTCTCGCTGCTGTTAATACATGTAATATTAAGTATAATATAGTTTTCTGAAATTATACCTAAAAGAAATAGTTCTGGTTTATAGTCTACATGTGTTCCTGTCATCTTCTCTAGCTATCTATGTATTTTTGACCAAAAGTGTTTTGCTTTAGGGCATGTCTGCCAAAGATGGTAATACGTGCCTGGGTTTTGTCTACATTTCCAACAATTGCTAGACATATTTTTAAACATTTTTGCTAGTCTTGCAGGTGGTAAGTGCCATCTATAGAACATTTTATATAAATTTTCTTTATAAATAGCTGCCCTTGTTATTTTATAGTTTCTTTCCCATAAATTTTGCCATTTTTCTAACTCTACATTTTGCCCAAATTTTTTTGCCCAAGTTATTGTTTCTTTAACTTGTTCATCTTCCATCTTTAAATTTAACAGAAAGCTGTACAATTTCTTAATCAAGTATGACAATAGTATCTGGTCAAACGCTGTCTGATCTTTGTAAAAACCATATATTTTTACATCTTTCTTGTATCTCATTTGCATTTGCAAATGTGGCCACCGTGATAGCTCTATGCCCTGTTCTTCCAATTCTTGTTTTGTTTGTAGCTTTCCATCAGTATTAGAAATAGCTTTATAGTCACAAGTTTCTCATAATTAATTAAATTTGGGTGTACAAACGCCTCCATTGTTAAAATCCATCCTGGTATTTTCATGTAAATTCTCGATTTTATCTTTTTCCTTGTCAAAAGCAATGCATTTCTTACATAGTGGTTTTGAAAGTATTTATGAATTTTATTCTTCTCATACCATAGGAAAGCATGCCACCCAAGTTGTAGGCTATGTCCCTCTAGGTATAATAATCTTTTGTTTTAAGGTTTATCCATTCTTTTAACCATGCTAGTGCAGCTGCTTGATAGTACAAAACCCAATCTGGTAGCCCCAAACCTCCATTTAAAAAAATTTTTTTTTTGCTTCTTGTAGGGAAGTTTTAAAACAGTATTACACTTAAAGAGTAGATATGTGGTGGTAGGCATAATGAAGAAGATAAAGAATTTGGAACTCTAGATTTAAGGTGAATGTATGTAATGTTTGGCTGTGGGAGTTGCATGTTCAGTAGATTTTTTCTCCAATAAAATTTGCAGAATGGTGACAGATGAAGAAATTGGAAAAAGACGTCCTATTGATTTAATGAGCTTTCACTTTATGCATTAAGTTGTCATACAGTAACAACAATTCTGGCTTAATATACCATAGCATGAATAAACTCTATTAGAACGTATGCTGTTGGCTCCATTTTGTGCTTAGCTTCCTTTGAATGTATAAACTAAGTGTGGCTGTTGGGTCTTTTTCAGTATGGCTTATTAAGCTTGGATTGTGTCTTACCATATTTATGAAAACCTTCCTACTGAGTCAGAGCATTGATCCATCCTGCTTTCTGGGATCCTTTTATCTAGAGGTGCCAAAGTTTGTACTTGGCAGACTTTTGCCTGTGAAGGACTGGTTTATGAAATGAGTCACCTTATTTTCCCTTAGTATTCATAAGCTGTGAATGTGTTTGCTGCAAGGGAGAATGGAATGAATTCTTTAAACCACTGGAAAAATACTTTCCACTTCTCCTTGTTTTGCCATTCCTGGCTGGGATGGGTTTATCTTATAATTTTTAGGCAGTTGTACATTCCACAGAGATGATTGCCCTGGCTGAGTCACAAACAACTTTTCAAATAAATCCTGGGTTTTCTTATTTCTATGGCTGCATGAGAAGACAGTGGATATTTTACAGTTATATAGTGCTGGTGGATTAGATTCTACTTCTTGTACCACACAAAAAATTGTTTGGCCAGTTTGTTGAAAGGCTGGTAAGATTCATTTTATTAGTTTAGATTATGGGAGACTTGGAGGCAGGGGTGGAGTTGTACCCACGAGAGCCTGAGCAGCTTGAAAGTGGATCATCCAAAGACAATCATAGTTGTGCTATTGAAAAAAGGAATGTTTAGGAAGGAGTTCCCTCTCGTGACATGTACAGTATTTGTATGAGCAAATTATACATCCCCTTCAAGTTAAGAGTGAAAATCCAAAAGATAATTATGACCAGGAACAGAAATAAGGTTCACCTGGTTCACCAAACTTACATAATACATTGGAATGAAATTGTTCCAGATCTAAATGACAAGATTTATAGAATTTACAGGCTAAATGTAAGGAATGGCTGCTATTCCAGAAAGCTAGGCCAAGGGAGTGTGAGCAGCACAGCAGCAGCAGCAGCAGCAGGTAACTTGGTGCCAATAGGATATGACACATTTCATGCCACAGATAAGCTGAACACTCCACTGAGAGTTGTGTATAGGCAGAAGGGGTGGGGAGAGTAAGTTTTTGGAGTCAATATTCTCAGCTATGGACTTTGGAATATCCTAGAATTTAATCTGATTTAGAAGAGGAGAAATTGTGTTTCCCGGCTTTTATTATTTTTAAAGAGGTTCTTCTTCCAATAGTAAGATTGTGGAGCTTGCCCCATGTTCTCTCTCTTTGAATAAATAATGCAAAAATCTCTAGGCTAAGTCTGCAACAGTCAGTGTCATTCTTTGGGGCATGGGGAAATCCTTGTTTCTAGATACAGGTAGTCCTCAACTTTCAACAATTCGTTTTGTGACTGTTTGACGTTACAATGGCATTGAAAAAAGTATCTTGTGACCATTTTTTACCGTATGACTATTGCAGCATCCCCATGGTCAGAGGGTCAAAATTCAGATGCTTGGTAACCGATACATATTTATGACAGTTGCAGTGTCCTGGAGTCATGTCCTTTCGCAACTTTCTCACAAAGTCAGTGGGGAAGCCACATTCACTTAACAACCTTGCTACTAACTTAACAAGTCAATGATTCACTTAACAACTGTGGCAAGGAAAGTTGTAAAATAGGGCAAAATTCATTTAATAATCTCTTGCTTAGCAACAGAAATTTTGGGCTCACTTGGTTGTAAGTCAAGAACTAACTGTTCTCTGTTGCTGTTAGCAGAATTGCAGCAATTCATAAATATTTCTGAGCTGGATTGCTGCTTGCTTTTTGGTATTAAAAGTGAGATAGATGAACACCCCTTTCTTCCCATTTGGTTGTATTTCATACCACTTTTGTCTGATATTGAAGCACAAATGCTAATTGCCACAGATATTTGCTCTTAAAAGTTCACTGACTCTTAGTTTTGTGGCAGCAATTTTTAATGTGGACAAATGGGACTGTTTCTTTTGCCCCTCCCCAACTATGCCAATCAACAGCTTCGGTATAAGTGAAGAGAAGCAAAGTATGAAGTTTTTTTTTTTAGGTCTTAAGCTGTTCTTCTGTTGGTGAAATTGATAATAATGCAGGGGTCCCCAGCCCCAAGTCCACTGCAGCATACCAGCAACCAGTCCGCACAAATAAGAAAAGCTCCATCCGCGGGATGCAGGCAGCACATAAAACCATGTACCCTCTGGTCCATGGAAAAACCTCTCCACGGAACCGGTCCCTAGTGTCCAAAAGGTTGGGGACCTCTGCCTTAATGGACAGAACAGAAGGTGGGAATGGCAAAAGAGAAGTCAGAGTGCTGGCCTTGTCGATGGCAAAGCAAAGGTGATTACAGGCTACTTTAGGGAGTCTCCCTTTGCTCTGCGAATATTTTTTTCCTAGTTCATGAGAGGTTGCATGCAAAATACTTTATCAGTAAGATAAATTTTAGAACCTTCCCTCCCATTCTTTGCACTCCACATCCTCCACTTATTAGTAGGCTGCCCACTCTTCATTGTTTGCCATTGTTGATTGCTGCCTTAAGCAATGAGTATCTGTCCTGCTTATTGTTTTTGTAGCAGGGTTGGGTAGTCAATTGGTCAGATGTGCTTCTCACTCTCACTCTTTTTGTTTTCATAATCCTTAGTAATTATACTACTGAATTTTGGCTGCAAAAAATAAGAAACGCTGTACAGATAATCCTCCATTTAACAACCACCAATTGGGATCAGAATTTCTGTTGCTAAGCAAGGTATTAATTACCGTAAATGCCGGCGTACAAGGCGACCCGGTGTATAAGACGACCCCCGTCTTTATAGCCGGGCCGCATTCCTAGAACGTCGTCTTATACGCCGGAAATTACCAGTATTTCCGGCGTATAAGACGACTCGGCGTATAAGACGACCCCCGTCTTTGGCGCCGATTTCAGCGCTCGTGGAAGTCGTCTTATACGCCGGCATTTACGGTAAGTGAGTTGTACCCAATTTTACAACCTTTTTTGCCACAGTTGTTAAGTGAATCATATGATGGTTAAGTGAATCTAATTTCTGCCATTGGCATTGCTTGTTGGAAGATGACTAGAAAGATTGCAAAGGGTGATCGCATGGCCCTAGGAATTTTGATCATGTGACTGTGGAGATGCTATGATGGTCATAAGTAGAAGGACTGGTCGTAAGTCACTTTTTTCAGTGTTGTTTTAACTAAACAAATGGTTGTAAGTCGAGGGCTTCCTATACAGTTTATTGACACTTTCATCCTTGGCCTCCAGGTAGGATGATAATCCGGTTCCTGATTTAGGATATAGTTGAATATAGGCTATGATGGAAAATATGTATCTGGAGCATATCATTTCAGGTTACAGGTGGGGGCTTATAAAACTGAATAATTCTTAATAAACAAAAAACATGTACAATGAAAATAACATATAGGAAGAAAAGTTTGATTGAACATCGTTCCTCTGATAAGCTGTTTTGCTAAGTATAGGAACTTTAAGTGATGGCTTTTTCATGTCAGATTTTAATCAAGTATTCGGCCATATTAGCCTAACTTCAATATGCTAGTAGTGAACAGAGTTAAATGACACTCGCAAACCTTGAATTATACCAAATGTACAGTTTACAAAAAATAAGCAGTAATTCAAACTGATAGATAATGAATAAAGTCTTTCCCATTTGCTTTCTTTTCCCTAGTTTCACATTTACCTACAAACTAACTGAAAATTTTGTTTGTTCCTTACAGCCTCATTACATTCTGTCCTTGATGAAGTGTGTGTATTTTAGTACAAGCAGTGAGATGGATGTTGTTTCTAAAAAGAGGCCAGTATTTAAAATGTTCCATTAAGGTGGAAAAGCAGTAAATAATATTTTGAATTTTCTCAAAACCTGGCAGGCAAAAAGGGTGGAAAATGTTTCCTACCATGGGGCCAAAAGAAGATCACCAGACCTGTTTTTTTAATGAATCATGGAGTTTTTCTTTCCATGTTTGATGCCTGTTTATGATTGGGCAGCTTTTCAGTATAATTCTCTTTATATTCTGAGTGGAATTAAAATTAGTGGAAATTGTAGAATAGCACAGAAAAGGAAAAGTTGAGAAGAGATTTTAAGATTCTTCTTTCCCAGAATTTTAGATGGGTATAGCAATTCTCTGGTGGAGAATTGTCTTAAAACAAGCTGTGATCCTACTGGTAGTCCTTGACTTATAACAATTCATTTAGTGACTGTTCAAAGTTACAATAGCATTGAAAAAAATGACTTATGACCTTTTTCACACTTATGACAATTTCAGTATCCCTATGGTCACGTGATCAAAATTCAGACTCTTGGCAAAGCCCTTGAGCGGATTGGGCCAGCCCTGCAGGAAGCGGATCCTCTTCTCAAGGGCTTTGCACAACCATCGAGAAAGGGGAGCCTGGCCTTCCTTACCCAACTCCAGCTGGCGTAGTTTTCCCGGAGCTTACCATAGCGTCCTTCCATACGAAGCGTCCTTCCTTTCCTCCCTTCTGCCAGGAGGAAGGCGCAGAAAGCAGGGCTGCTATTTCCAGAATGGAAAAGGGAGACCCGGGCCAATGCAAGGGTGGCAAGATAGTGCAGTGGTGGTGACGGAAGGCTGGCAGAGGGATACCAGAGTTGGCAGAGGGAGGTGGCATGGGAGGCTTGTGCCCCCCCCCCCAGTCATGGTGCAAGCCATGGCAGAGTTGGTGGAGGAGAAGGGAGTGGTAGGGACCGAAGAAAGCCTCTCCAGCAGCAGACATGATTGTTGCATAGTGGAGACAGAGCCTTTCGCCGTCACTCCCCCCCTTCTTGGACTTTTGGGGAGGGTTTTTTTTCCCGCCTGAAAGGAAGTTGAACGAAAACCAGACATGTTCTAGAAAACACAGATTTATCATAACCAGTTTGCTGAACTCAACAAAAAATTAGGTATGCCGAACAGGTGTGAACCAGCTGAATCCCACCACTGATTTAATCTTTTAAAAAGGGATTCTTACCCTCCACTATAAAATAAAGTATTTATACTTGTTCTTATTGGGGAAAAGCATTAGACCATGTCAGTGTTTGATAGTCTTTCAGGGATCTTTTAGGAAAGTTAACATATTAGAGCAGTCTTTCTCAACCTGGTAACATCCAGATGTATTGGTATTGCAACTTCCTGAATTCCTAGCCTACAAGGCCATGCTACTAGATATTCTGGAAATTGCAGTATCAGCATATTTGGTGGGTGTCACATTGGGGAAAAGTGTATTAGTATATAAGTTGTCACTGTCCTCAGTGCCATTACATATGTTTTTGCATGTAGTTCTCTACTGGCATTTCATGCAACTTTAATCTTTTGCAAATGGACTGATGGTAATTCAAGCAGATTATAGAATATTTGGAACAGTATGTAATGCAACAAAATTTAACAATCATAAGAAGAATCATTGTTATAAGGTGCAAGATGTAAGTATGCACATTGCTTGTAATATAATTTTTACTACTATTTATTACTATCATATTCTGAATGGTTGCTATCCAAGGCAGTTGCTACATGATGACTATCTGTTTAGGAAATAAAATGTCATTATTACTTTGGATTCTTAAAGTAATTTCTAAAATTTATGATAGTGTGCTATTTATGACTGCTTTTCATCTGTCTTTTTCTTACCAGGGTGGAATTCCAGAATAAATTCTACATGGGTGCTGGGTTCAAGTTTCTCCCTTTCTCATTTGACAGCATCCGTGATGGGAAATTTGATGAATAATCATCTAGGAGACATAATGCTTGGAAGTGTGCCACTAAATCCAGACCCTTACCTGCATGTGTGCATATATATTTATAAGTCTCCCTGAATGATAATCTGATGTGTAGTTTTCCTGTTGTGTCCACAATATTCTAGTGATAATAATGTGATATTTCATTTAAAGTTTTTATTGAAGGAAGAAAATTCTAAAAGGATACTCAGAGAATTTCAGGGGTGGGGGGATTGCTACCAAAATTAAACTGTACTTTTTTCAAGTCTTGGATGAGCCTTTGGTTTTATGCCACAAGTGCTGAGAGAGGAATGTTTGTGATCATAAAGGAGGATGACCTGGTGGTCTGTAGCTGTCTTGTTCCCCAAAACCATGGTAGCTAAAAGAGAAAAATTCAAGTTTCTAGTCCTATGAACTGCTTTAGATTTGGGGAAACACACATATTGCATACATTTGTTCTAACACTTGATGATTAAAAGGGGCTCAGTTATTCATCCATCCAAAATGCACACTTTCCTTTCAAACTTTCAAAAGGGTATTTATAGTCCCTACAGATTAGTTTTACTAAGTACAAAACTTGCAATCCAAAAAGCAGTCCTGTTTGCAATAGCCTGCTTAGATGCTAGTACTTTTTCTGCATTTTTTTCTCGGTTAAATCACATCCATAGGGGAGACAATTCACCAGAAAGATTCTTCACTATTATTTGACAGACATTTTAAGCATTTGCCCCTGCACAGGACTTTTCCCATATTTTAAATATAATTTTAATCCCTGGAAACCTCTTTTCTGTAACATTTGAGATGTAAACTAGGAAATGTAGATGGAAAGTCAATCGCTTTCTGGAAAAGTGACCCCCCCAAAACATTGCATCTTGGCATTGTCAGAAATCTTTTTTGCTAGATGAAAAGAGCAGGTGGAGAAGCAGCTTACTTGATTACCTAGCTGGCCTCTGTTTGGCTCCACATGATTAATTAATAAGAAAACATTTAATAACACTGCTTAAAACTTTGAATTGCTTGTTTTGTTCAAAGAAAAGTCAGAATCTTTCACCTCAGTTCTCACATGACCTTGACACCTATTACTGCTGTAGAGAACAATTTGATTACTATTGACATGTCTAGAGCTGAACAATTCAAGAGAGTGTGGTAGCTTGACAGCAGCAGTAACAGCAGCAGTATATATGTTCTTAGGACAGATTCTCCTTGAAAATAGGAATAGCTTGAGGGTAACACCTGCCTTCTCTTTGTGTGTGTTTTGATGCAGGAATGAATCTAGTATTATATGCCTCTGTAAGATGCAAATTTATTCTCTGAGTGTCATGTTGTGTTGTGTTAGATAAATGTGCATTTTTCTGAAAGTGTTTCACATGAAAACCTCAGGGCCCTTCATTGGCACTTAAAGAATGAGCCTTGATTTGATGTGATAACCTTACAAGAGGGTGCAAAAATAACACTTTTTATTAGAAACTGTGAAATTCTAGCTGTTGCTGTTGTGTAAAATGCAAAAATCCTGTTTTGACAACTAGAATATGCAGTAAAGTTTTTCCCTATTTTCGTCATCAGCTAATTGCTGTATCTATTAAAGCAGTTGAAGTCAGCTGTAATGACTTGTGTTTTTTTTAATGTATCTGGGGAATGGGATGGATGAGGGAGATTAAAAGTGAAGTGGGTGAATACGGATGTAGGAACACAGAAAAACAAATACCATACAATAGTCATTACAAAACCAAATTCTGATCAATTACTCAGCAAAGTTCTTGCTTTTTTAGTAATCTTTGGGATTTATTACACAATTTTGCTCTTTGGTATAATTTTTGTTTTGCTATAATGAATCCCTTTCAATTATGCTGAAGTCCAATCCCATCCACTAAAATCAGAGCAGTAGTTTTACTCTGTATTCCTTTGGCTTATAAAACTTCAGTGGCTTTCCACCCACAAAAGTGGAAAAGTTTTCTTTAAACAAACTGACTCTTGAGTTATTTGTTTGTTCGTTTGTTTGATGTATATCTTGCCTTTCTTTTCAGGAGCTCAGTGGGCACAAAAAGCACTTCATCCTTTCATTTTCGCCCACAAAACAAAATGTGCAGTAGGGTGGGCTAAAAGAATTAATAGTCATCCAATGAGCTCCCAGGACTGAGGATGGAGTTTAAAATCTAAGCCTCCTCAGTGCCATTTCAGCACCAAAGCCATTAACATCATGTCAGTTTTATATTTTAGAATTCTGAAATTCCCCAGTTTGAAGCTGCTTGATGTTCCCATCTCTTTGATCAATACCAGGTTCTTCATTTTCATGGAATTATTAGATCCACACATCTGCTGCCTTTTGTGGCATATGGTAGCCTATGGTCTCTGCCTCTTTAATCTTCCAGGGTAAATTCCAACATTACAAAATTTTTGCTTGGACTGACCTCAAAATATGCCTTTTCATATCCACAAAAAATAAATGCCAATATTCCTAAATGGATTTATAGATCTTAATTTCCAGATTCTCAACAATGGCCACACTGACTAGGGTATTTTAGGAGTTTATATCCACATCTTGGAGAGTACGATACATTGGAGATTTGGGAAAGGCTTGTCTAATAGCAGTGACTGCAACCTCGGGTACTTAATAAAGTATTCCCTTCTACTTTTACTTAGCTGTAGGACAATCAGCCTGACCATTCTCAACTCAAAGGTAGGTGCACAATTTCCCAAAAGTAACTGTGCTTTAATATCTTAAATCAAAAAAGGAACTAACAACAAATGTTGCTTTTGGAGAATAAAATGGAGGCAAAAATCCAGCTTATCCAAACTAAACATCATACAGAAGTGGTATGGTTAGGGAAGGCAGTGGATGAGTACAAGTATCTTATGCAGTGTCATTAGCAGGAAAGTGTTCATTTAATATAATGCTATAAGGCCATCTGTGACAGCATTTTTCAAACTTGGCATCTTTAAAACGTGCTGATTTCAACTCCCAGAATTCCCCAATTAGCAGACAGAATTGAAATGATTTATGTTAATAATATATAAAATCAGTTATTCTCAAACTAGGACAGCCTCCATGGGGACCAGCAGATCAATTGAGAAAGACAGAGGTCTAAGGCAGGCAGGGCCCTCCTCCCTTTTCAGAGCTTGGCTGCTCTGAGTGCATGCTTTAAAAAAATCTCCATTTATCAGATATGTCTGGCATAGTTTGAATATTTCTCTATTGTGGTGCTGCAAAATGGTTAACAAGATATTTCCTTGTACATGGTCTAGAGACTGAACTTTGCAACCAGTCAGAGACCCATATTAAAAAAAATTGTGAGACAGCAAACATTTCAATATGTGTGCTTGTTCTGCTGTAATACCTTCTGTTGCAATAGAAAGTGCCAGGAATTGGTTCTTGAAATCACATGAACTTTAAACCTTTTTTTCTTTGCCATAACCCAAATTGCTTCATTCATAGTTCACAATTATCCATCTCAAGGACATTTCAATTCTTTAGAGAGATAAAAAAAAAGGATTCTTGTTATTAATAGATAAATTCCAGCTTCTGGAAGAATTTGTTGGTAGGCTATGATTGGGATGGACTCTCTTGTGCTTCATTCTGTTCCTGTGGAGAAAGACAAACCCAGTCTAGGACTTCTTACTAGATGCTCTCTGAATCTGTTACTCATTACCCATTACCTAGGCTGCAGGAAGAAGGGCCATATGGTTTGTGGAACAGTTTGTAGCCATAAGCCTGTTCTTGGGAAAGATAGGTCATGTGGTAAATTGGCTGTGTTATGTTTAGCTTGAGAAGTATATACAGATAGTCCTTGTCTAACAACAGTTATTTACTGATTGTTCAAAGTTACAATGGCACTGAAAAAAATGATTTATGACCATTTTTCACACTTAGCACCATTACAACATCCCTTTAGTCACATGATCAAAATTTTGTTGCTTGGTAAATATGCTGACTCATATAAGTCAATGGGGAAGCCAGATTCACTTAACAACTGTGTTACTAACTTAACACCTGCAGCAATTCACTTAACAACTTAGTAAAATGAGGCAAAACGCACTTAACAAATGTCTCAGTAACAGAAATTTTGGGCTCAATTGTGGTCGTAAGTCAAGGACTACTTGTAATGGAATATTAATCTGTGCAAATATACATTGAAATCAGAATTTTGGGTGAGTGCTCCAATTTAAAATAACCTTGCCCCATACTTCAAAGATAAATAAATACACTTGTTTTTACCTTTAATATAGTTCATATACTGATTCATTTATTTGTAATAACCAAAAATGAATTGCAACAAATCTTGGCTTTGCAGCAGACTTCTAGATTAAGCCATAATATGATGTATTTGGCTGTAATATTTATACTGTATAAATACAACAGTTGGTCGTATAACCTGATTTAACCATGTTGAATGAACCCAACCAATGGGTTGTGTACAATAAACTCAACTCTCCTTGATTTCATTGAAGGCTTTATATCAGAATCTAGGCCAATACTATTTATTTCTGTCCTGTTGCACTCTGTTGAGCCTTGGGCTTTATTTTTAATTACCTTCTCTCATGCATTATTTTTTAGGTTTCTCCCTTTGCAAGATTGTTGACATCATATGATTAATTTTACTTGGAGTCTGTCTCATATAAATGTTCTCTTCTCTGGAACAAATGTTTCTCTATTTTTATACTATTGTTGTCAATCTTATATTGCAAACACTTGGGACAGTGATTAATCTGCTTGCATTTTTTAAAGTGCCATGTATGTTGATGGATTTATATAAATAAATGACTAGAATTGTGTATTTATATAAAAGATTTATATGTATGTATGTATGTATGTATGTATGTATGTATGAATGAATAAATGTATTGCAAGGCCCTTCTAACAAAAGAAACAATTTGGTAATTATAAGACAAGTTTGCAGTTAATGCATGTTATAAAAAAATCAAGAGCACCTCTGAATTATCAAATGAGTCATTATCATTTCTAAAGAGAAGCAGAAAGAGCAGCTTCCAGAAAGATTAGATTTCCAATACCTTTAGAAAAAAGAAGAAATTTGCCACTGTGGTGAGGGGGTGTAAACCTGTGGGTAATTGTTGCCACATTTTGAGAGAAGTGAGAGGGCAGTGGCAATTAACAGGTTACTGAAATTATTGAGAAGCTGAATGGGCTACTATTACCTGGTTTTTCTGCTGATTTCAGTGAAGGATTTCATAGTTGCTATTCACCTCCATCTCCAATGCCCAGACTGGCAGAAAAGCACCAGTCAAACCCCTGAAGGACAAGTGTCTCTTATAAAAATAAAATATTAAAATGACATCTGTCTATCTGTCTGTCTGTCTGCCTGCCTGTCTTTCTGTCTTTCTCTCGCCCTCTGACCCCATCACTTTAACTTAGTTCACCATCCTTTTCTGGCAAGTCCAAATGATAATTAGTCCCTCCCCCTACTTCCCCCCATATTTAAAAACAACATTCTCAAACAGGTCTTGGAAAAGTGGGGAAGAAAAGAGCAACATGATGAAAAGGAAAGTAGCTGGTTGCTTAAAATTTGAGGAGTGGGGGAACAAGATTAAATCTTGTATTACCACCTCTAGGAAGGGTGTATATTTTATTTGGCTGGATCCCAAGTCAAACTGTGGTTCTGTGGTGAGACTTGGTATTTCTTCTAAGCTAAGGTAGGTAACATGGGGAACAGCACTGCTCTGAGATTTCTTTGCAGTTTACAGGCTGCATGCCATCAAAACATTGTTTTAATTAAAAATTAATGGAAAGAAAAGCAGAATATTCAGCATCTTCTAAGAATGTTTCTGGACCCAATATAAAACCCATAACTATTACAAAATAAAAAGATGTGATTGGTTTTGCTGATAGTAGCAGTTATTTTGTGAATATACATCATGGAGTTCATAGGATATGTTTGAGCCAACAATTCATAAATTATAAGATGTAGTTTTAATACATAAGTAATATATAATATAATAATATACTGTAATGTAGTATAGTAATAATATACAGATGGGAGGTTGAACAACTGGCCCTGTGGTGCAGCTGGAACAATCTAGAACTGAACATACTTAAACTGTAGAGCTGATAGTAGATTATAGAAGGAGGTCTCCTATTCTACCACCTCTTACAATATTAGGCAGCATAGTTTCAACAGTAGAGACCTTCATATTTCTGGATTCTATAATCCCCCAGGTCTTGAAATGGGCACCTAACATTAGACCCATCATTAAAAAGGCACAGCAAAGAATGTTCTTCCTGAGCCAATTCAGAAACCTCAGACTGCCCCAGAATCCGCTGATACAGTTCTACCGAGGAATTATTGATAACTCTCTGGTTTGGTACAGCAACCAAATAGGACAGGTTCAGATTTCAAAAGATAGTAAGGACTGTAGAAAAAAAAAAAAACAATTGCAACCAGCCTGTCTTCTGAGGACTGGTATATTGCACAAGCCAGAAAGAGGGCTGAGAAAATGTCTATAGACCCTTCACATTTTGCACATAAACTGTTTCAATTCTTCCCCTCTGGATGCTGCTATAGGGCATTGTATGCAAAAACAGCTAGACATAGAGATAATTTTCCCCCATGCCATCACTCTACTGAACATCTAATCCCCTCAGCATTGTCTTATATCTAAAAATATTTACCTATGTACTATGGCTGTATTACTATTATCCTTCTCATCTTTCCTATTACCTTCATCTACTGGTATTTTATGATTATATTACTTTGCTGTTTGTATGTACACTGAGAGTTTATGCACTGTAGACAAATTTCTTGTGTGTCCAATCACAATTGGCCAATAAAGAATATTCTGCTCTGCTCTACTCTATTGTTTGAAATTCCAAATATGCCCATTATCCCAAATGCCTTTCATTTGTAAAATGAATTCATCCTGAAACAATTGGAATTGAATCTGGGTTTCCTGAAGCTTTATGGCACTCATTTAAGCTTTTTCCACCTAGTTTCTCCCCATACATGGAATCCATTCATGGTTGGTGGGAAAGAAAACTGGAATAACAGAGATCTTTATGTAATCATACTTTATTAGGGGCTGTGTGATGACAGTGCTTGGGGAAAGCAGGCTGAATCTTACACAATGGTTTATTCAGCTCTCTGTGGTGTGGCTACTTCAGTCTCAACTGAACAGAAATGTTTGAAGAACTTTGGTTAAGGTGGTAACAGCAAAATGCTTGTGAATTTTGTATTTTCCCAGTGTCTACCCTTTTCCTCAATAGTCTTCATTCTTTCAACCAATTATTATTTTAACCTTCTAATCCTTAAAAATATTTCCTTTCCATTAATTTATATCCTCATCATTTATAAAATTTTCATTTACCACTTCTATTTATTTTATGTTAGTCATATATAAAAATTATATATAATTTCTTTCACCTCTGATGCCTGTGTTAGATTTTTATTTGGAAAAGATCTATGCTCATTTTTCAGTATTTTTACTAAAACATTTGTAACATTCATAACTGTATTTATCCTTGCTCCATTTTACTATTCAGGGCATGATTTTAAAATTTTGTTTTGTACCGTATTTTATTTTATAAATAGTTTGTTTATAAAGCACTCTTACTATTAATAAAGTGCAACTTGACATTTAATATATTATTTGACACTATGAAATTCCTCTGTTGTGGCAGCATTATTTTTATTATCCGTAGAGAATGAAAGATTAAAAATCTTGATAAAAGGATCTTAAGATGGCCTTTGCCAGGGCCAGTTATTGGGCCCCATAAATGTGGGATGCCCTGAGCAGATAAGAAGCTTTAGGCAACTCTGTTCATCTCCAGACTACCACAGATTTGGATTCCTCATACATTGTTGTCTGCCTTCTTTGTTAAAATTCCTGCTTGCCCACACTCAACCAAGTTTGGGTATGTTACTCAGTGTGTTATTGTGCATTTCACTAACATCCACAATGGGAAAGCCAATGCAATCTTTCCATGGTCAACTTTTTGTGCTTCTTTAATTTCATATTTATACATTCAATAAAAAGGCTGTGTCCCTTGCTAGAGAGAAGCTTCCAAACAGAATTCTAACAGGTTTAATGAGTGAAATCTCTCCAGAAAAGAGCCTTGAGGAAAAGAAATAAAAAAACAAAACTGAATACTTTCAGAGCAAATGTCAGCATCTATTTTAGACAGTTGTACCACTCATCAACCAATCATGATGTATGATCAAGCTATTAATTGCAGGCCTAATTTGTTCAGCCTCAGCTTGATTGTGCTTAACTGACCTTGGCTGGTAAGTAAGAAACTAAGCAGGGACTATCTTAGCATTGAGATGAGGTGGGGGTTATCTGCAGTGATGGGATTCAAATATATGAACAACCGGTTCTCTGTATGGATGCCGCTTCATGAAGTCCATTCTGGGCCTGGGCAACAAAAAATTAGATACCAGTTCTGCCGAAGTGGTGCAAACTGGCTGAATCCCACCACTGGATATCTGGGAATTCCAGGGCTAGAAACTAGATTACATTGGGACTCCAAAGACACAGTGCCCAGCAGGATGCATGTATATAATCAATAGATGTTGAACCTGAATTGAGAGTGTAATTTTATTTCCTTTGTCCTTTTAAAATTATTTCCTGTCCAGTGGGAAGTTGGAAAGAAATGATGTTGGAGAAGTTTAGGTTCTCTTCATCCCAATAATAATTGTGAAATGAGAACAGCACAATGAAAGGACAATCAAGATCAAAGACAGAACAGATCTGACTGGAAACTACAGAGAAAGCAAAACTGGAAAAAAAAATCAATGCTTCTGTATGGAAGAAGCAGTTTGAAAACAGCTTGTTTCTTTCTAAGCCCCTTTCCTACCCACCCACAGAGTAGAGCAAATGCAGCTTGTCCTTCACTCGTACTTGTGCACAGACATAGCACCAGTGAAAACAGAAGAACACAGACAAAACCCATATTTACACAACCTGATTATACTCCCTCTCGTTCATACATTTGGAAGCAACCCCATGGTACACACTTTAATGATGTGTATATACCATGGTATACACAGAGACAGGCTGTACGACACACCCTGGTTGTTTCATGAGGACAAAATGTACACAACCCAATATCTCCCAAAAGGAAATACAAATGCCTTCTCTGGCCTCTGCTGGTAAAAGGGCTGGAAAGGATTCAGAATTCCTGCTCTGCAGTTTCACTGCCTTGTTTCTTCTCTGATTTTGCTGCCATCTGTTGCTCATGTATTGCAACTGGACCTTTTCTCTGCAGATTCTTTTATTGTACTGCATCAAGCACAATTTTTGAGATATGTGTCAACTAAACTTGTAAGTCATTCACTGCCTGTACGGTACCCCCATCCAAAGCACTCAACAAGCATATTATGCTTCCTCATCCTGGCTCAGAATTCTAGTATTATCACTACAAATTAGAATAGGTTTTCCAGGTTTTCTATAAAAATACAGCAGGCAATAAATATGGTATTACATAAAACTTTCATCTAAAATAGTCAAAGTTAAAAATGAGCCTTAAATAACATTTCAAACTGGAGCAACTGCTGCAGCCAATTCCATTTTAAATAGCAGTCCTATTCCATAAAGCAGTCTTAGTGCTGCAAAAAGAAAAAAAAATCCTGTTCTTTGTGTTCACACATTCTGTTTTCAAAAATAGGTGTACAAGGATCTGGAACAGGGATTCAAAATATAAATCTTTAATGCTGGCTATGTCTCTTGCATTATGTTCACCTGTTCCTGCATGCTTGCCAGCAAAGATACTTTTAGGGACTTGTGTATTATTTTGCTCATCTCCTAAAGGTAAATTCTTTAGAACACTGCTTTTTCTGTTGCTATATTTATTTTCCCTTTTCTATTCCTAGAGTTTTGTAGCACATATGTGTGGGAGAAAGCCCTGGGGATCTGGGCTTATCAGAGTGGACCAAGATCCTTTGTTGTTGGAAATGAAATTGATCGTCTCACCCCATTTATATAGAAATGCTGATCAGAGTTTTATTGTTCTTAAAGCAATAGTGTCTTCCACTGATACTGAAATGCTGGAATGAGGATGGAATGGAAAGTTGTATTTTATTTACACAGATTAAAGAATTCTGAGGCTGGAATGTTGACAATGGGTTACGACTGCCCAATGGCATGGCTATAACAAAGTCCAGTAAAGTCCCTCAACCTTCCCCAGAAGGTTGGGTCCCAGAGGAAAAAAGTCTCCAGCTTTTGCACCTGAACCAACTCCAAACTGGCACAGGCTACAAGGCTGTTACATCATTCTGCCAAAGGACCTATACTACAACTGCTAAGTTTAATAATGTCCTTTAAAGCAGTAATTTCCCTTCAACAAAATTATTTATTTCTGAGGAAAAATATTTGAAAGCAAAAGTAAACTCTGTTTTATTCCTGTCAGAGTGATGGTACATATTTTAAATAAATTTCAAACAGGAAACAGTGTGCACAAATCATAATTGGCAAACTAGAGTATAACAATAATAAAGCACAGAACTGCTTGGAGGGTAGATGGAACATGAAGAATTTAAAATTCTTTAGTTGCACCATCATTTTTTTCCTTATTGCTCGTCTGTGGTGTCTGTTAGCAGAGGAAGCTCTGGATTGCCCTAAAAGACATACCCAAAACATTTCTTTTTGCATTTAACATTTTTAGAGTATATGATTTATGGCTAGTCATTATATATAGTTTTGTTTTATTGCATGTTGATAGAATATGTTATCTTTCATAAAATATGTATAAGTGCTATTATACAGTGTCTGGGACAGTGTGAGGTAAGTGTGAGCTGTGAATCAGCTGCTCCTTTGCCTGGCTTCAGGCTGGGCCTAAAATATTGTTTTTCTCTGTGTTAGGGAGAGTTAGATGTAGAAGGAAAGCTAGGCTCTTCCATTTTGAATAGGGCCTGAATTCTGAGTGTTTAAAATGATCATGACTTGTCTTTCTTTGCAATTAAAAAATGCTAATTGAAAGAATACATGTCCTCTTCACATTAATTTTTTAGGTCTCAAAAGGGAGCAAATTCTTTTCTCCACAGTCCTTCAATAAATCTTGGTATGAGTATGGCTGGCCTTTATTTTATTTCCCTCTCTACACTATTGTAATTATGAAAACTGATGAGTTAGCATTTTAATCAAAAATACTGTGAGATCTGAACTAAACACTGCCATCTCCTGTTCTTAAAAAATTCTAAAATGGAGGGGAAATAACAGAAGAATTCCAGCCTGATATTCATCTCCTACAGCTTTTAAAAGGTTATAAGAATTGCTTTAATACGGGGTAAATTTGAGTTGCAGTAAAAGTTTCCTCTGTCTCTCCATTTGAAGTGTTGAGATCTTTGGCTAATTAGAGCAAAAAGTATAATGTGACAGACAGATGTAAAAAGGGCAGGTGTTTTCCCCTCCTTGAATTGACCAATGAAAGAGGGAGGGAGGGACTTTCTGAATTACCCTTGCTCACCATCTTGTTTGCTCTCTGGTGACTGGCCTCAGGAAGCCCTGGGAAAGAGTAAACAAGATTATTGTTGTGTACAAGAAGCAGAAACTATATTAAAAACAGAACTGATTTACCAATGTTGTTTTAAAATGTTTGGAAAAGAAAATTGTTAGGTACAAGAAGCAGAAACTACGTTAAAAACAGAACCCCCCCCCCTTCTGTAACAAATTACAGTAGTGATAATGTAATGAAAAAGACTTTAGTCTCTTAATCTGCTTTAGTTTTTTTAACTTATATTGCTTTTTTCCTTTGAATGTTCATGTGGGGTTCAGAAAAAGAGTCTTTTCTGTCATTGCTCCTGCCCTCTGGAACATCATGTCCTCCCCCACCACTAGAAATGAGATCTGCACCCACCTTTTTAGCCTTCTAAAAGGGCCTGAAATGGAAGACTCTGCCAAGAGGTCTGGAGCCCCAATGACTGCATGTTATTCTGGAAGTGGTTAATAATGAAGTAAGATGAAAACCTACCCAAGTGTGTATTTTGCTCCCTTCCTTCCCATTGTTTAGCAATTTTTAAATCAAATTCAATGTTATTCATTGTTTTAATGTTTTATATGGATGCTTTATTGATTGAAAACTGCATGGAATCACCTTAAAATAAGATAGGCAGCATAAAAGTTTAATAACTAAATAAATAATATGTGAGAATCCCCACATGTTTGGACTGGAAGAGAAGGTGTTGGCCAAAAATCACACATAAGAGTCCTAGCCATTTGGATATAGGCCTCTCCAGTCTCAATCTTATTTATTACTTACCATGCAACATTGGCTTAGGTCTGGATATTATAATACAGAAATAACAGGAATATAAATCTATGCAGAGAAAAAAACTTACTGAAAGAAGGCAGTGATAATCCACTTCCATACTGTCACTAAGAAAACCCACATTTTCTGAACTGTACTGATATCATCACTATTTGTTAATAATGAATGGATTCTCAAAAATAGTTTAAATGAATTAACATAATAATTTCTATTGGAGTTAATTTGGCATTTTTCTTATCCAAGTACTGTTATATTTTATTACCTATTCTAAATTGACGGTTCTTCCAACATAACCCAATATTGAGCTTGCAACTTGAAATGCAAATGCTGACATGCAATTCCATATTCTGCCCATGTACATTTTACATTACTATGTCTCTAATCTTGCTTGCAGAAATCTTGGATAAGCAGAGAAATGGATAAGGAGAAATAAAAGGAACATTATTTGAATGATCAGAGACCAAATTTATCAATTCTTTAGAACAGGAATAATGTATGGTCTGTCACTGTTTCAGTTTAAACGTGTCTTTTAAGTGCAGTACTCATTTAATGACTTAGATAAAATATACTTTAAAAAAAAGCAGTATCAAAATAGATGCCTCCTTGAACTTGCATGGCATACTTGGTAGAACTTAACTGCATTTAAAGCTACTTCCTCCTGAAATTGCCAGATTAGATTTTTTTTTTTTTAAAAAAAACACAACTAAAAGTGATTTTGCATCATTAATTATAGTTCAATAAATAAATCATGATTGTCTGAGATTTTTGGGTGCACTAAGCCATTAACTATTATTCGTAATCTATAATGGCTGCCATAAACAAGCCAATTTTATTATGGATTAATTTGAACTTTTCCAGATGTTTCAGACTCCAGCTACCGGAATTCCCTGCAGAACTGTCAGGTGGCATGGATAAAGGCCACACTGATGAAAAACTTGAAGTTCCAAAATGATTTTAAGGTTCCACATTAGAGTTTTGTTTAAAAGTATTCATTTTATGAAACTACAATTTATTTTCAGATGAATAGGCACACTAGAAGAAAGCAAGGACAAATCACTTTCAAATTGTTCTTAAATTAAACTACAGTATATAGCCCAAACCGAGTAGCTTTCGGAAGTGAGCTTAAGAGAGACTTTACCTTTTAAATATGTACAAAGCCATGTGAAATCTGTGCAGTAACAACTGTATCCATTGTACACTGCTCAATGTAAAATTTCAGATTGGGGGAAAAGCCCCAAATTACACGTTGGTAAGAAATTGCAAAATAGATAAAAAACTAGACTTTAAGAGGATAAAGTTGAACATAGATCTTCAAAAATATTTTTATGTACTTGATGAGGATGATGTTGAGAAGAATGTGAAATTGTTTTAACTCCTTCCCCAATATAGAGTAAAATAAGGAAAGAATGAAGTATAAAAGGATAAGGCTCCTTCATGTTTAATATTATGATCTATCCTTGCTGAAATTCTGTTTTCTTTAAAACAGTTCCTGTCTTTTATTTTTGGTATCATGGAAAAATCATGGAAGTAGGAAAAACTTGCAGTCTGTTTGTTCAAATAATCACATTCACAACTTACTAAATAGCTAGTGTTTGTAGTATAATGAATATTGGACTGTGAAGTGTGATCCAGTTTAAAATTCCAACTCAGTTCTAAAGTTGATGGGCTGACCTTGGGCCAGTTATTATCTCAACATGTGGATCCTACTTCATAGGATTATTTTGAAGGATAAATCTATGAGTATTATTTAAATAAAAGTTTGGAACAAATTTGGTAATAAATATTGAAAGATAGCAAAAAAATAGCATAATCAGTGACAAACAGAAGAATTTACCATTATGAACTTTGCTGCATAGATGCTTCATCTTAGCAGTATAAACATGATTCAGCTGAAGTATCATGATTTTTCTATTTAATTCAGTAAGTAAGATGTAAATGAATATCTAGGCCTTCATTAAAATAAATATCTCCATATTCATCTATATTTTCTGAGAAAAAAAATCTCTGCGTGTTCAATAGAACTTATAACTTAGCAACATGATAATATAATGTTACATACATCTACTCAGAAAAGTCCCAGATAAATGTATATAGAATTATAGTCTTAAACTGCTTAAATTTTGATGGATTGTTGCTTGTGTAAATATGTACATACACATATCCATATCTATCTTGCTATGAATGTTAATAGCTGGGATGGTATGTACTCACATATGAACTTATGAGAATTTAGTGAATCAATACAACCAATAAATATTTTTCTACTTGTATATATACACACACACACAAATTATATATATATATATACACACACATAATATATATACACACACACATACACACAGAGAGAGAGAGAGAGAGAGAGAGAGAGTCTCTCTAGGTCTCAATTTAAGATATTAAACATTCATTTTTCTTCCGTCTCTTGAATTTCAGACATAAATTTTGTTTAGGATTATTGCTAATCATTTTATATGAAGAATGCTGCAATTCACCAAATTCAAAACATCTATTTGTCTACAATATATAACTATTAGAAGAAACTGAAATAGCCTGCAGTCATAACATACCTTGATGTTTTTAACTTTTCTCTTCTGCTGTTTCTCAGATACCAGTCCTGGATGTCAGATGGAGAGAAAGCAAAAAAGCATGCACGTTCATGTGGGAAAAATCTGACTCTGTCAAGATTGATGGCAACCATTAAAGGGCAGAAAAAGGGAACTTATTTGCTGCTGAGAAGTGCAATGCCTTTTCTGGCAAATCTTTCCTGCCAAATATACTTGGCACAGAATCCTGGCTGCTCTCTCTTCTTGAATCAACAACTGCTCAGGGTGAAAATGTCAAATCTTTCCCAGATGCTTTGCAGTGGTATTAAGCCTGGTCATGTTCAACTCTTTTGTCCTGTGAGTTTTGTTCTTTTGCTTTCACTTGGCTTCAATTGTGTGGAATTCTCAGATTAAGATTTGCCAGCTGGTTTCTGTTAAGGGAATGCAGGCTGATATGAGAGAGCAGGAAAAGATGCTGGAATCCAACAGCCTGGAAAATCAGGGGGGATGGGGGTACGTTGATCCTTTAAGAGCCTCAGCTTTGTTCTGCAATATGTTGCTGTGTTAAATGCAGCAGGCTCTTTAAATATAAAATATTAACTGATGGATTGCAAGCTCCGATCTGGTTAACTGATGGACTGCGTGCTGCATAGATTCCACCCAGTCTTTATACAAACACATACACACCTTTCATCACTAGATTTTCTCTCTCTCTCTGTGTGTGTGTGTGTGAGAGAGAGAGAGAGAGAGAGAGAAAGAGGGAGGGCTTTGTTTCTATTGGTTGATTCTTGCCTTCCCACCCACATCTATTCCACATCACCTTGGTGTCTCCCTAAATAAAACCAGCCCTCTTTATCGCAGCAAGGAAATCAAGCAATAGAGTTGCAATGGATTTTAAATAAACACTTCCCTCCTCCCCCCATCATTGCCAGGCTGCTGAGAAGCACGCAGGAGGCACCTCACCAACTGCTACTGAAACGCACACACATAGCTATCTTGCCTGCTTTCTGAGTCTACTGCTTCTTTCATCCCATGAGTGAGGGCTGGAGTACACAAGAAGCTGGCTGCAGTCAGAGGATAGAATTGGTATCTTTATGACCAATTCTTTCCCCATGGATTTGAAGGACAGCACTAGTGAGGGAAGTCTAGGGAGCCTTCAGCCTTCCAGCCTCCAGATTTTTGCTAACACCTCAACCCTACATGGAATCCGCCATATCTTTGTTTATGGACCTATGACTGTGCGGCGGGCTTTATGGGCTCTAGCGTTTGTAGCTTCCCTGGGCCTCCTCTTGGTAGAGAGCTCTGAGCGAGTGATTTACTACTTTTCTTATCAGCATATTACCAAGGTGGATGGGCTGGTTGCTAACAGCTTGGTCTTTCCAGCTGTCACCATCTGCAACTTTAATGGGTTCCGCTTCTCCCGTCTTACCACCAATGATCTGTACCATGCTGGTGACCTTCTAGCTTTGCTGGATGTGAATTTACAAATCCTTCATCCCCATCTTGCTGACCCAACAGTCCTAGCCATATTGCAAGAGAAAACTAACTTCCAGCACCATCGAGCCAAGGTCTTCAGCATGAGTGAGTTCCTAGGGCGTGTAGGCCATGACATGAAGGAGATGCTGTTGTACTGCAAGTTCCGGGGGCAGGAGTGCAGCCACAAGAATTTTACAACTGTGAGTACAAGGAACAGATTTACTTTCTTATTACCTTAATAATGGTTACAGTTACAATGGGATGTACCTAGAATTGATAATTATATTTATCCTGGATTCTCTTGGTGAGATAGCAGTTTTGAACTGAAGTATGCTTGGTATCCTTGTGGCAAATTTGGGAGATTTAAAATGGGAAGTCGATTCAAATTAAGGAATTAAGGACTGTTTCCTGGGAGATTTTAACTAGCTCTAGTTATTGACCTGTTCAGACCCTTGATGAAAGGAACGACAATATTCAATTACACTTTGATTTCCTCAAGGAAACTAGCTTATTTTGCTGTTGAATGATGATTGGCAGCAAAGCAGTATTCAAATAATACAGTAAATTCTGGCTGATATAGTTAATGTATACCCCACTGGTTGACAATGACTTACAACTTAGATCCTTTTATTCCTTTCTCTCTTGGTAACAATTATTTCCCATTTCATATGAAGTTTTTTCCAGATCCCTGCACAAGATTCTGTAATTGGATAGCTTGGGACAATGTTTCTTGATAGTAATTTAGTGTTGGTGACCTACCTCTGATTTGTGGTTTAGAAGAAGTGTAGAGTTTTATGAGCATTAGGGAGTGAAATATGGAACCTGTTCCATGCTGAATATACTCACTTATTCTATTTCATTTCTTCTAAATGTTGAGTAATGGGCAACAAGATGAAGATGTAGATGGTAGGATTTGTATTGTTTCAATTCTCATTGACCATATGCATTCATCATTTCATAATTGCAGCATCAATTGTTGATTTTCAAATGTGTGAATGGAGTATGAGAATAAATATAAAATATTAATATCTTGATTACTACAACATAGTAAATACAATATTTTTCAGTTGACTTGCTTCATACATCATCCCCAGCAAATCTCCAAGTAATGGTGGAACTAGATAATGCATAAACATAGAAATTAAGTAGATCTAGGCCTGGAACTAAAAAGGAAGTGACTTGTTTCATAGCTATGGCTAGTTGCCATTAAAGATGAGGATCAAGATCAGAAAAACAAGATGATTATTTTTTAGGTGACAAAAAAAAGAAAAAAGAAAAAAGAAGAAGAAAGGAACTCTTTACCCACTTTATATCATCCAAATTTCCAAACTGGTTCTTGAAGTCCCAACACATACAAAGGGCACTAGATTAGAGAAATGTTTTCTATACTAATTATTTTGTCCACTGGCTTTCTTGGAAAAGTTAAATAAGCGAAGGTGATGGGCAGTGAATGTTGCAATAAACTTTAATTTCTTTTTTGCTCAAACTCATGTAACAGTCACCAAGAGTTGAAAAAAATGTAGTAAATTTCTTTATTCACCAATCCCTTGTTTTCATGGCAGGGGTCAGATTAAGACATTGGACAGAAAGAAAGTAGTTTTTCCTAGAGAAAGCTTTGACTTAATTACATCATACATTAAGGGGACGTTAGTGGTTTGGGCCTTAATTAATAACAGTACAGAATAATGCCTTTACATTTTATATATATATATATATATATATATATATATATATATATATACATATATACATACATATATACATACATATATACATACATACATACACACACACACACATATAATGTAAAAGCATTTCATATGTTATAATATAACATGTTATAATATACATATAACATGTTATAATATAACATGCAAAATAGGAGTCCATTATTAGAAGGTTGAGACAGAAAACAGTTTGCTTTGATAGGATAAAGCTAGTAGGACCAACACTTTAAAAAGCTTTATTCTGTCATATAGACTTCCTCTATTTATCCACTCTTGCTCTTCTTGGTACAGTATATGAAGCACATTGCCTCTGTCTGCTGTGAAGCAACCCAACTATGTGTTTAAGCTGCATAGTTCAGCTAAATTCAGATTTAGACTTGTTGATGTAATTTAGACTTTCCACCATAGTACCTGGCTTTGGAATCAATTATGTGATTTAAAAAAAAAACATAGGCATTAGTGACAATGGGTGTTTTATTATGGAAAGAACATATTATACTTTTCTGAAATTTGGAAATTCACTGTTGTGATCTAGACAAGATTGTAGCTATATGTTAAGAGCAAGCTGTCAGGATGAAAACTTTGGGTCATGGTCCTATTAATTGACAATACAATATTTAATGGACCCTTATTGAAGAATAATATTTCAAACTGATATAAAATAATAAATTCTAAATTGTGATCTAGAAATGAAAAATTTATTTTCATGTGTATATATTATCAGAAGTGAAATTTTCAATATTCTTAACCATGTCTACCTTAAAAAAAATACAAAACAAAAATAATATGGAGGAATTGGGTGCATTTGCTTGAAAACTGCAGAGTGAGAAAGAGTTGGGGAGAAATGCATGTTTTAATGTTTTCCCACAAAAACATGATAGCAAATATATAGGGCCTAGCTGGATAAAAAGTTTTGGGTTGCTTTCAGTGAGTAAAAGTTGCCACCAGGAAAAGAAACTTAGGGAAAGATCTGTTATTCAGTAGTTCATTTCCAAGTGTCATCAAATAAATCCTCACGTAAGAAAATTGAAAATGTAAGATTTTAGATAATAAATATCAACCAAAATAACGGACATTACCAGGTTGGTTAGATAAAATGATAATGCAATATAAGCTTTATCAATATTTCTTCTTTCCTACAAATCGCCACTTATTTGGATAAGATGTTTATTTATAGGGTTGTACCAGATAATTTTGTTCTACTTCAAAGTATCACTTGAATCCTGACCATCATAACAATCTCACCATGGTGGGACTGGCATGCTCCACCTATGCAGGCAGAGGAGGCATGCTGTGGATCCCGTCAGTGAAAATTGGGAGGGTCCAGCTTCTCTGCTGTGACTCCTGTTCTTGAAATATTTTGCCCCTGTCCCGGGATGAGATATGCTCCTGTCCCCCCCCCCCCAGGCCTTCCACAAGAGACTGAAGACCTGGCTCTGCCAGTTGACTTGAGGCTCCAACAGGGGATTATCACACTGGAGGCGGTTAATAAGCTAATAGAAAATCCCTCTCTCTCTCCTATGCATCTTGCTTCCTCCTTCTCCATCTTTAATTATATTTTGTATTTTTATTGTTATTAGAAATATCTGTTTTTCATTGTTTTATTGCTTTTAATATTGTAAATTGTCTAAAGTCACATATGGTGAGACAGGCAGCAAACAAACAAATAAATCTGATTTCTACATGAAAGATAGAATCACTTTGCTTTGAACTGTTAAAGTGAACCATTCTGATTTTACCAGTTTTTTTCAGTCCAGTGGAAAGGAACTACTACTGTAGATTTCAGAATCTCACTTAGCATCTGGACTGAAGCAGAGCAATTGCTCCAGACAGATGCTTCAAAGGGGAATGCCACTTCAGTTTGATGTTCTGCTTTGGAGATATGATTTAATTGAAACTTTGATTGGGTTGAAGTACTCTTTTGAAGTTTGCACAGCTTTAATGACTACTAAAACATTTGAAAGCTTTTTGTTCCTGATATTTGTAAGGCTGTATGATATATGTTTTGGAGAAGGAGCAAGTTCATTCTTACTCTATTGGGCTACGATGATGATAACTGAAGAAGAGAAAATGATAGTCCTGCCTCTTGAATAATTTTAGATATTGTTGAAATTAAAAGAGGCAAAATGATAGAGGATAAATATACATTTGTCGTTTTTAAAAACATGCTTCATTTGAAGCTTCATTTTAGTTATATATGAATAAGACAGGATATTTCAGAGGAACTGTGGTATTAGTTTCCTAGCCAGTGCCAATAAAAGAAAGCAAAAATAAAATAAAATAAAATAAAAAATAAATTCAAAACCTTTATTAGAGGTATTTAGCCAAACCTTTATTTTCTGATCCTGAGTCAGAATATTTCTTCAAATTGTGTCTGTTCTTAAACATTACATTGACTTTTAGTTTGTTAATTGATTATTTGATTCCAGTTCTGCTTTTAATCCAAACATATTAACCATATCTGATTTAGCCTTAATAGAGAACAGCATATCTACTCTTCTGAGTATTGGTGATGATTATTGATAGAAGAAAAGCTAACAGGGATGCTGTAATTAATTTCTTGAAAGGGTTGTTGATAGGGACACAAATGGCAAAAAATTAGTAGCCATTATATTTATACATTGTCTATTTATGAACATTGCTTCAGGCTTGAATCTCCATTATTATGTACCCCAAAAGCCAAGAATGATTTCAGATATGCCATTATAGATGCTAGAATATAAAATGTGCTTCAGTTGAAGAACCTTAAGTGAAAAATAACTTTTTTGAGATATGCGTATGAAGAGCTCTCAAAATCTAATTTGTTCAACCTCAAATACAGTGGTATACAAAATTATTTTAATCACTATAATTAATGCAATTATCAACTTTTCCTTTTAAAAATATAACCTTGATTCTTCCAAATCAGTGCAGCAGGCCAAATTTGATTTATTTATACAAAGCTATTTGAAATCATTATAGTATTTAAATTATCAAAAATAAAAGCCAGTTTAATTTACACCAGGTCTCCAGGTTTCCAGCACAGGCAAATTGGCTGCTTTAACATATAAGATAAAGGGCTATTGTGTTAGAATCAACACTTGTAAGACTATCTCACAAGAGCTGACATGCCCTGTTTATGTATATCTCTCTATTTATGTGTGGAAATACTGCTTGAAGTGACAGGCTAGATAAGCTTTGAGCAATTGTATCAAGGAGTAGGAATAGGACACTAATGAGACAGATATGGTGGGTGGCCTGCTTTTCAGTGCTGTGAATACATTTAATTTATTGGAAAGCTTCTTGGATTTTTACTGTGAAAGTAGTGTTTTTATGGTTCCCCTCTCGCTTTGTTTTCTTTCTTTCCAATGTCCACATTTTTTTGTCACTTACTTGCAAATGTGCTATATTTTATCTGGCACATTAGTTAGTGACCCTAATAAAGAATTGAATTACTATGAACATAAACAATTAAAACTTATTTAATCTTTGTCTTGCTGAATGAATGTGCTCTGCACTCAACTCAGTTATAGATTCTGAAAAGTTTTCTCCCATAATCTTTTATTTCTTTTCAATAAAGATTCAACTGAGGATGTTTTACTAGGACCAAAAGCACAATTCATTTAAAATAAATGTTTATGAGTTTTACCACTCTGATCATCTGTATGAATACTCCCTGTCTCTGTAGCTTTGTATGCAAATTAACATTAATGTGCTATAAAAGCAAAAACAGAAAGCCACTTCAATAAGTTATGTCAATAAACTCAATTTTTCAATTTCACAATAATTGCTTTGCAATGCCAACCTTCCACTGATTCTAACATTCCATTTTTATAGTAGCCAGATCTGAATAGTTTTAGCCACTGTGTAAGACTGTGAAATCTAATAATGGATGATATACTACCTCTGAAAGGGGAAAATCATTTTAGTTATCTACTTCTTATATATTAATAAAAAGCTCAGATCTTTGAATGATGTTAATTACAAAACAAAAAGAATATTGAATATAAAACAAAGAGATGTAGTAGCAAGTTTACAGAATTAGATTCTTTTTCCTAATACAGTGTGTTTCTTTAAAAGACACAGAACTAGTAGTTAATTAAAAAAAAACATTGTCAAGCCAAATTTCAGATTCAGGGCAAGGTTATAATAAGTTATTTATTTAATGTAAAGGATTGAGATACTATAGCTTCATTTTGCCAAGAAGTCATATGATCAACAGATAAAGCCATTTGTGGTGTCTGCCAGGAGAGTTCAAATGAAGACTAGCTGAAGCAGACATAGCTTAAGTGGCTATTAACTATCAGTGAATGCTGATAGAGTGCTCATGCAGTTCCAGTGAATAACAAATAAATCTGTGCCCATAAAATAACAAAGATGAATTGCACATGAATAAACATGAGTGTGGTTAGAAGTTGCCATTTTCTTGAGCTTATTACATACTGTTTTCTTGCAGCATTGCACACAGCAGTACAAAGGAGTAAAAGTACCATCTCCAGGAAGTTCTGCACAAATCAAAAGTGCAATTACATTAACAATATTCAGAACCAGATTTGTGAAGTAGGGCTTGTATTGTACAACATTTTTATTGCCTTCTCTCCTAAGTATGCAATGGAACTGAAACATATTTTAAAAAACTTTCTACTTAACAAATATGCAAATTTAGTTTTATACATGTCTGAATTTTAAGAGTATTTTATAGTTAGACCAACAAAGATTGAATGCATCAAGCAGGATATGCCAGTTCACTCAAACATAGAATTAAGAGTCAAAATTGGTATGATGTTAATAATGTGATCTGATCATGCATATTTTTTTTCACTAAATAGCAATCTTGGAGTCACCTAACCTAGTTTATATCCCTTCTACTTGGAAACATCCCTCTAGCTGGAAACAATAGCTGGAGGGATAGCAAGAATGAGATTTCCATGTCATAGATCTGACATGGCAAATTCTCAGGCACTAAACT